ATATAAAAACATTTGCATCTCAATAACTGTTCACCAGTTGCTTTTAAGATTTTCATGAAATGCAAAAATCTGCAAGTTTACATTTTTTTCTCTTAAGGTGGGCATCTTAAAAGCCCAGGTTTCTGATTATTTTTTCTTAATCTCCTTATGGTAAAGTCTTATATTGACAGTAGAATACAGTATTTACAACCTTACTTAATAAGCTGTATCTCCGTTTCTTTTTTATTGAATTAGAAAAACTTTATTTGCATATTCCTGATTTTTGGACTAGGTTATTTCCATTATAAAAGCAAGTAAGATAAGGTCAGTTCTGATGGAAAAACAGCTGACTGGGGAAAGTTTATCTGCAAGGCAACTCAGGGGAGCCAAAGAGCTGATGAGATAGAGGTCTAGAGACAGATGTGAGGGGGAGGCAGCATGTGGAGAAGAGATCATGATTACAAACTTTTGGAGTTTTGAAATTATTTTGATCTGGTTAAATTTTTGAAAATGTCATGGAAAGGAATTAGTAGGAGGCTTTTACTGTGCCTACCAATTCTTTAATAGGCAGGTATTTACAAGGCCACTGCTCTATCCGGTGGGAAGTGTGTCCATAACTGAGGCAAAGTGACTCTCTGGCTCCAATAACCAATTCTTTGCTTACGTTTCCTTGTATCTTTCACAGGCTCAGCTTAGTCTTCAACTTCTGTTACAGCTTTTCCTCACCTGCATCTACACTTCTATCTTCCTTGTTTCTTCCTGGGAAAGATATTTCCTTTTGGTTAAGGCAAGTTCATTACTAGATCTGTCTTGGTTTCCTCCACTTTATTGTTTCTTACGCTCCTTTGATCTTTGAGAAAAAAAAAAAGATTTTTTGCATGCTTGCTTTATCCTCCAGATTAGATTGTACACTTCTTAAAAGCCTCTGACTACAGCTTAGATCAGAGTCAGCAAACTATATAGGCCAGGGCCAGATCAGATTCAAAACAGGCCCACCAAGTGTTTTATAAATAAATAATGCTTATACTATCTGGTCTCTGGCTGCTTTCAACACTGGCGTAGTTGAGCTACTGCTGCTGAGACCGTCGGGCCCCCAAAGCCTAACACAGTTATTGCCTGCCCCTTTGCAGAAAGTGTGCTGGCCTCTGCTTAAGGCTAATATCTTGCATGTAATAGATGCTCACAAATATTTGTCGGAAAATTATTTTTTCCTCTTTAGGGCACAAATTGGCCTAATTCCAAATTAAACTTATTCTCTAAAAAGAAGAGCATGCAAACCAATTGTTTGCTCTCCAGGGATTTCTTTAATAGTAGAGTTGAGTTTTAAAGAAACTTCTTGTAAAAAAAAGGAGGGCCTATTGAGAAAAATGTACATATATTGTTTAAAAAATTTATTGAGAGAGAGAGAGAAAGATTGAGAGAGAGATGCATATGTTGTTCCACTTGTTTATGCATTCATTGGTTGCTTATTGTATGTGCCCTGACTGGGAATTGAACCTATAACCTTGGCACATCAGGACAACACTCTAACCAACTGAGCTACCTGGCCAGGCATTCCTTGATCTACATTTGCGCCAGGCACTTTTTGGGCTTAACTCTAGTTTCAGCTCTCTGTCTGGATAGCTCTGAGACCTTCTGTAAGTGGTTTTGAATTCCACATCCCTCGGACCCCGTGGTCTAGTCCACCTTCTAGCCAAATATATAAATCATCTGTGTGATCTAACATAGGCTAGTGAGTATGAGTTGATCCTCACTTAGGGTGCAGGTCTCGGGATGGTATCCTCAAGACTGATTGAATTTAATGTTTGTTTGTTTGTTTCTTTATAACTTCCTGGGCCTAGAAACTACTTTTTGAGTTAGTCATTCACCACTGAGAGGACAATGACAGGTCCAGGTTCTAGACATTTTCTCCATCTCTCTGATCTTTACAAATATGTATGAATCTGATAGGCAAGGTTGGTCTTCTCAAAGTGCTTCAGTGTTCACCCCAAGTATCCTTCTTTACCTCTGAACTTCCCAAAATATATACTTTTCCATACAGCTGTGATTTTTGTTTGTTTGTTTGTTTGTTTGTTTGTTTGGCTTCTCTTCAAGAAGTCCTCCTCTGCAAGAATTTCACTGACCAAGGATAGAAACCTTGAGTCCAGGGGAGATTAGTGTCCATTTCTGCCTGGGGACAGACAGCCTCTCATTGGTTATGTGTATATAAGCCCAACACAAGGCTCTTAGCTTCCTGCTGCCTGATTGATTAATCTTTGCTTTCATGTTGGTTTGTAGCACCACCTAAGACCACCAGGGCTCCAACATCACCCAGGGTCTTCACCTCTGCTCCTACAACTGCAGCTCCCATGCAGAACCTCAAGACAGGTAAAGCAATGTGTGTCTGAGGCCAGAGGCCTCCTGATGAGAGAGCGTAGGCCATCCGTGGCCTTGTGTTCAGTCAGATGTACAATCCACATTAAGGGTTCTTAGGTGGCTCCAAATGGGTATCACAGCATCTGTGAATCCTGGTCTGATGTTATATGCAGCTTTTGTAACTTCAAGTATTTGCAGAATACTTGAGGATACTCATTTGTTTTTATAGTGAGACTCTCAGAGAGATTCATTATTAGCCAAACACCCCCAGAATATTGCTCTTCGATGTCTAATAAGGGTGGTGTGGATTTTGCACAATGAGCATGGGTTTAAGAAGCAAATATAGAAAATTCCAGAGGAAAATGGTCAGGTAAATGGAATTCTATTCTCCCAAGAAGTTCTGAATAAAGAGCCTTTTCTTGACTCCACTCCACAGAATAAGATTGTAGTGAGGTTAATATTTACTCAGGAGACATTATTACTTAATTCTGATGACAACCCTATGCACTGTAGATGTGATTCAAATCTATCTTAAAAGATACTGTCAAGCAGACACAACACCAGCTTTAATAATTGTCTATTCAATCTTGTTGCACGTACCTTGTGTAAGCATTAAAGAAGACAAGTTCATTAGACAGTAAGGTTAGTGTTTCTCCTCTTTATTTTTCCTTATGTTTCTTTAAATAGATTTTTTGCATGCTTGCATTTTCCTTCCTATTAGATTTACAGCTAGAGAAAGGAGATTGGATTGTCTCTTCCTAAAAACCTCTGACTACACCTTAGATCAGGGTCAGTTAACAATAGCCCCAGGGCCAGATCAGATTCAAAATAGGCCCATCCCCTCTTTTATAAATAAAGCTTTATTGGAACAGTTACATCCATTTACACTATCTTTTGTATGGGAACTTTCACACTGATAGAATTGAGCAACTGCCATGGGACCACCCAGCCTAAGTTACCATCTGGACCTTTACATCATGTTTGTTGATCTCAGCTTTAGAACACTGCCTTGCATGTAATAGACACAAATATTTGTCGAAAACCAGTTTTTTTTCTCTTCAAGGAAGCAATTGGCTCAATTCCAAATTAAACTAGATCTCTCAAAAAAAGAGTTTTCGAGTCAGTAGTCTCCTATTCATGGGTTGTCTTTTATGCTTAGTAGAGTTGGGATTTAAGAAAGCTTCTTGTAAAACAACAATAAGGTACATGGTGAGAAAAAGTTATACATTCTTGAATCAGGCCTACATTGATAGGCTCCTGAGCCAAGCATTATGATTGGGATTAATTTTAGTTTCAGCTCTCTCTGTATGGCTCTGAGATCTTCTGCAATTGACCAGCAAATCTTACACCTCCTCTGACTCTGGACAAAGTTAAAGTCATTCCTTTAGTCCACTTTTATCCAAATATATGTTGTATAAATCCTCCCTGTGATTGAGCATCAGCTAGTGGGCGTGAATTATCCTCATTTATGGTGCAGGTCATTTGGGAAGGTACCCTCAGGGCTGACTCAGTTCAAAACTACTTATTTGTTAAACATTTTGAGTCTGGGAGCCTCTATTTAAGTAAGTCTTAGCCTTTTGCCACTGAGAAAACTAAGAGAGGTCCAGGTTCTACACATTTTCTCTATCTCACAGATAGATGTTTATGAAGACATATAAATCAGAAAGGTATGGACAATATTTTGAAAGTACTTCTATGTTAATTGTGGGTACCCTTTTTCACCTCTGAACCTCCTGGAATATATACTTTCCAGTGCAGCTGTTCCCTTTCTGTGGGCTTGTCCTCCTGCCCTCTCCTGTCCACTTGTAGTAGCACCAGGACAGGCACTCTGGGTTCAGGGGAGGGTAGCGCGTAATTCAGCTGGGGGACCACCTCTCTGGTTATGTTGATGTACAGGCCCAGAGCAAAGCTCTTCTTTCTTGCTGCTTGATTAATCCTTGCTTTCCCCTTGGTTTCTAGATCCACCCAAGGTCACCAGTGTTCGCACATCACCTCGAATATCACCTTGGGTCTCTACCTCTGCCCCTACAACTACAGCACCAACACCGAAACTTAACACAGGTAAACTGCTGTGTCTCTGTGGCCAGAGGCTTTCTAATGAGAGGATGGAGACCTCCCAGGTGTGTGTTAAGGCAGAGTTACAATCCAAAGTATTAATTGTTCCCATGGGCTTCACAGGATATGTGAACCCTCATCTCTTACTATATGCAGGTTTTGTACCTCTAAGTATTTTCAGAGTTAGGGGGCCTTTGTTTTTAAGACTGAATTCCTAAAGTTGTTTACTTTTAGGCAACCAACTACCAAAATGTTTGATTATCTAATGAGGGTGGTATGAATTTGGCCCTGTTGAGTATAAGTTTATGAGGAAATATAGGAAATGCCAAAGAGAAGGGTCAGCCTAATGAGATGCTGATTTCACGCAGGGCTCTGAATGGAGACCCTGTGGTCCTCTGTGAAGCTGGACCCCCCACTGAAGGATAAGATTTCAGTGAAGTTAACACTTAGTTGGTCCTCTATGTGCCAGGAAGCATTGTAAGAATTTTTACAAGTATTATACATGTAATTCTCATGACAATCCTATGCACTGTGGGTGTGATTCAATCTATTTTATAGTTGTGGGTACTGACAAATAGATACATCACCAGCTTTAACAGTAATTGGCTCTTTCATGACTGTACCTTCTATTGCCTGTAGGGCTGGCACTAGAATTTTAGGTCATCATAAATTAAAATTCAATTTTCTTCACTCAGAGAATATTAGAGTAAAGGATTATCATTTTATTCTCTGAAATTTGGGGAATCAAACATTTAGGGGAAAAATTATCAACTCAATCTTGTTGCACATACATTGTGTAAGTCCATATGGTTCCACCCACACACTCCGCGCTATCTTGAATTTCTTGGAAGCATGTCTTACATCATCACAACATTGCTTATTTAAACATAAAAATGACCTTATTGCAGTTGAAAACACTTGGATCCCAGTAACTGTTCTCCAGTTGCTTTAAGATTTCACGAAGTCAGGAAATCTGGGAAGTTTACAGTTCTTCAGTCTTGATGTGCATATGCTAAGCCTAATTCTATGGAAGAAGTAGGTGTTTGAGGATTTCCTGGTTTCTAGTGTTCCTTCTTAATGAACCTGTCCACTAAAGGTTTATATTTGCAGCAAAATACAATGCCTGTGGCCCTAATTACCTAATAACCTGTACCTCTCTCTTTCTATCTTTTAAATTAAGAGAACCTTCATTTTGTAAATTCAGATTTTTGGACAAGGCTTATTCCCCTTAAGAAGGGAGGTAAGATAAAGTCAATTCAGATGGAAAAAACAGCTGACCCTGCAGAAAGTGTATCTGGGAAATGTATCTGGGAAGCCAACGAACCTGAGGAGATGGTGGGCTCAAGGCAGATATGAGGAGGAATTTCGAGTTGGAAAAAATTATTTTGATTTGGCTGAATATAACATGGGAAGGAATTAATAGGAGGCTTTTACCATGCCTCCCAATGTTTTAAAATGTTTTTAAAAAAGAATTTTATTTATTTTATAGAAAGAGGGAAAAGGAAAGAGATACAGGGAGAAAAACATTGATATGAGAGTGAAACATTGATCAGTTGCCCTGACTGGGAATCAAACTGGCACCCAACTAACTGAGCCACACCAGTTAGGGCAAGCCTGCCATTTTTAAATTTTTTTTTTTTAAAGATTTTATTTATTTTTAGAGAGCGGGAAAAGGAGGGAGGAAGAGAGGGAGAGAAATATTAATGTGCAAGAGATACATCAATCAGGTTGTCTCTCACACACCCCCAACTGGGGACCTTGCTCACAACCAGTGCATATACCCTGACTGGGAATCAAACTGGCGACCTTTCAGTTCACAGGCCGGCACTCAACTCATTGAGCCACACCAGCTAGGGCAACCTATGAATTGTTTAATAGGCAGGTATTTACAAGGTCACTGCTCTATCTGGTGGGAAGTGGGTCCGTAATTGAGACAAAGTGACTCTTTGGCTCAATAACCAATTCTTTGCTTAAGTTTCCTTGCATTTTTCACAGACTCAGCTTAGTCTTCTACTCTCTGTTGCAGCTTTTCCTCACCTGCATCTACACTTATGTCTTCTTCGCTTCTTCCTGGGGAAGATACTTTCCACCAATAATAACAAATTCATTACTAGGTTTGTTTTAGTTTCCTCCACTTTATTGTTCCTTATGCTCCTTTGATCAGATTTTTTGCATGCTTGCTTTTTCCTCCAAATTAGATTTTAAACTAGAAGAAAAGGATTAGATTGTATACTTCTTAATGCCTCTGACTACAGCTTAGATCAGGGGCAGCAAACTATATAGACCAGGGCCAGGTCAGATTCAAAACAGGCCCACCAAGTGTTTTATAAGTAAGTTTTATTGGAACAGCCATACCCATTCATTATATTGCTGGTCTCTGGCTGCTTTCAACATTGGCATAGTCGAGCTACTGCCGCTGAGACCGTCGGGCCCCCAAAGCCTAACACAGTTATTGTCTGTCCCTTTACAGAAAGAGTGCTGGCCTCTGCTTAAAGCTAATGGCTTGCATGTAACAGAAACTCAAAATGTATGTAAAAAAAAAAGTTTTTCCTCTTTAAGGCACAAATTGGTTTAATTCCAAATTAAATTGATTCTCTAAAAAGAAGAGCATTCAAACCAATCGTTTGTTCTCTAAGGGTTTTTTAATAGTTAATAGAGTTGATTTTAAGGATCAACGTTGTGTTTCGTATAAAAACAAACAAAACAGATGTCTGGTAAGAAAAATGAATACATTCTTGATTCTGGCCTTCATTGACCTGCTTTTGTGCCAGACAGTGGGTTTGGCTTAATTTTCATTTCAGCATTCTCTCTCGGTAGCTCTGAGACCTTCTGTAAGTGGTTTTGAGTCCTACACCTGCTCTGACCGTGGAAAGAATCAAAGTTATTTCCTGTGGTCTAGTTTACCTTCTAGCCAAATGTATATATCGTCTGTGTGATCTAGCATATGCTGGTGACTGTGAGTTAATCCTCACTTAGGGTGCAGGCCCCTTGGGAGCATACCCGTAGGACTGACTGATGTGAAGGCTCTATGTGTGGGAAGCGTTCTGGACCTGGGTACTACTGTCGAAGCCTTAGTCATTCCCCAATGAGTAGACTAAGGTGGGTCCAGTCTCTCACGCACATTTGTGAGGATATATGTATAATGCATAGCTGGATTTTCAAAGGGCTTCAGTGTAAATCCCAGGTATGCTTTTTCAACTCTGAACTTCCCAGAATATATATCTTTTAATAGAGCTGTTTCTTTTCTTTCAAGCCCTCCTCTGTCAGATTTTTGTACCAGGAACCAGGACAGGAACTTCCTCTGTCAGGAACCAGGACAGGAACTCTCAGCCCAGGGGAGATCAGTACCTAATTCTTCCTGGGGTCAGAATGCCTCTTGTTGGTTGAGTTGATGCACAGGCCCAGCGCAAAGCTCTCCTTCCTGCTGCCGGATTAATCCTGGCTTTCGCGTTGGTCTCCAGCTCCACCCAAGACCACCAGTGCTCTGACCACGTCTGGGGTCTCTACCTCAGCTCCTGCCACTGCAGCGCCCACGCAGAAACTCAAGCCAGGTGACCTGCTGTGCTCCTGAGGCCAGAGGGCTCCTGGTGAGAGGATGTGGATTTCCCAAGGCACTGTGTTCAGACAGAAGTCAAATTCAGGCTAAGGTTTCTTAGATGGCTTCCAAAGGAGAACCTCACCGTGTCTGTGAACCCCCATCCCATAGTACATGCACCTTTTATATAAATATTTTCAGAATGAGGAAACCCACTAGTTTTTCAGTCAGAGTCTCAAAGGGATGCATTACTAGCCTAAACCCTCCAGACCACTGGTCTTTGGCTTATGATGAAGATGGTGTCGATCTGACTCTGTGGAGCACGAGGAAAATACAGGGTTATGCCTAAGAAGAGGCTCCGGTTAGTGAGTCAGTCCTCACATGCAGCTGTGAGTTGAGATCCTTTTGTCTGCTCTGAAGTTGGGGCCTGCACTTGAGGATGAGATTTCAGTGAATTCAATGTATATCCTGTCTCTTATGTCAGGGACCATGCTAAGTTCCGTGGAAGTATTACATTACTTAATTTCTTAACACAACCCTATGCACTATGGGCGTGATTCAACCCTATTTTTTAGTTGTGGGTACTGTCAAGTGGATACATCGACAGGTTTAACAATTGTCCATTCAATCTTTTTGCGTATACGTTGTGTAAGCATATGTAGTTTCACACCTACTCTTTGCCCTGCCTTTGATTGTTGAAGCATATCTCATCATAACATTGTCTAAAAATTAAAATAAATGTATTGCAATGTGAAAATATTGGCATCCTAATAACTTTTCACCCACCGGCTTTAGGAATCTCATGAAATTCAAATATCTGGGAAGCTTACATTTTTTTTTCCATTTTGAGGGGGACATACAAATAGCCTTATCATTTGATGAAAAAAGTGAGTGATACTTGGGGAGTTCCTGGTTTATGCTCTCTTTCTTAACCTCCATCCACTAAGGTCTTTTGTTGACAGTAGAATCCAATATCCGTGGTCTTAATAACCTATATCTACTTTTCTTTTAATTAAGAGAATCTTTATTTTGTCATCTCCCAAGTTATCAACTGGGTGTTTGTCTTATGCAGGCAAGTAAGATAAGGTCAATTCAGATGGAGAAAACAGCTGCCTGTGGAAACTGTATCTGACAGGCAATTTAGGGAAGTAAAGAAACTGGCGAGATAGCGGGCTGGAGACGGGTGTGAAGAGGCAGCAAGTGAAGAAGAAATGATTGCAGCATCGTTGGAGCTGTGAAATTATTTTGACCTGGCTGAAGTTTTAAAAGTAACATGGAAAGGAAGTGGGAGGAGACTTCAGTAGGTGGGTAATTACAAGGCAACTGCTGGGTCCAGTACAAAGAAGGTCCGCAACTGAGCCAAAGTGACTCACAGCTTCCAAAAACCCATTATTTGCTTAAATTTTCTTGCTTTTGCACAGGCTGAGTATACTCTTCTCCTCACCAGCAGCTACCCTAACCTTTAGTGGAGGATACTTACCACCGAATAAGACAAGTTGAATAGACAATCTAACTAGGTATCCTCCCCCTTATTGTTCCTTATGCTCCTTTGATTGGCTTTTTGGGTTTCTTTTGCATGTTTGCTTTTTTCCCTCAAGGTTAGATTTTAAACCAGAGAGAGAAGATAGAGTTGTACTCTTTTTTAGCCCCTGACTACACTTTACATCAGGGCCAGCAAACTATAGCCCTGAGACAGACCGTATTCAAAAAAGTCTCACAGACGGTTTTATGAATAAAGTTTTATTGGAACAGTCATATCTAATCATTATACTATCTTGCCTATGACTAATTTCATATGTCAGGGTTGAGTAACTGCCACTGACACCATGGTGCCACCAGAGCCTAAACATGTACTATCGGGCCCTTTGCTGACAGTCACAAATACTTGTTGAAAAACAGTTTTTTCCTCTTCAAGGCAAGAATTGGCTTGATTCCCATTTTAAATTGGATCTCTTAAAGAAGAGCTTTCAGGTCAATGGTCTCCTATGCCAAGTTCTCTTTTCTAGTAGTGGAGTTGAGATTCAAGGAAGCTTCTTGCAGGGTAAAAAGATGTCTTGTGAGAAAAAAATGAAAAGTACACACTCTTGATCAGGCCTTCATTGCTCTGATCTTTTGTGCGAGGCACTGTGTTGGACTTAATGCTGGTGCCAGCTCTCTCTCTCTCTCTCTCTCTCTCTCTCTCTCTGTAGCTCTGAGACCTTCCATTAATGCTTTGAAGT